TTACACTGTCTGTTGTACGTGATTCACAGACACATAGAGATCAACCACATTTACACACCTTTCAAAAGAGAGAGTAAAAAAGCTAAGAAGGAAACAAAAAGACCAGAACACATCCTCTCCGGTGCCATTCAAAATTCAGTTAAAACGACAGCTTAAATACCCACCCTGTCTCACTGTATCTTCAGGGGAGTGGTTAATGGTTTTCTCAGCAGTTGATGATGCTAGGGGGTAGAGGAAAGGACAGTGTGAGGGCAACACATTGCAGACGTGTGTTAAAAGGTAGGTGGTGGGAGCAGTACTTCTCATATCATCCTGTCAGACCACAGGGGTCTGTTCTTTCCTCCCTGTCATTTATCATCTATGTGAAGCTGCTAGAAGAGATCATCCGGTGCTTTCGGTACGCTGATGATACCCAATTGTACATCACAACCCCCGTCGGAGATGCTGTTAACGTCTTATCCCAGTGTCTGGAGGTTGTTAGGTTCTGGAAGGGAGAGAACAGGCTTAAGCTGACCCCTACTAAGACTAAGACACTATTCGTATATCAGGGATCCCCTGTGCCCCCTATATTGTCTCTGGATGGGGTTGCGCTGATCCCGAAGGAGAAAGCTGGGTCATGGAGGGGCCTTACTTGGGGTGGGAAAATCTAACTTTGGTGGTTCATGCCCTCATCACCACATGCATAGACTACTGTAATATGCTGCACATGGAGCTATCCTTAAAGACCACCTGGAAGCTTCCATCGGCACCAAATGCAGTGGACTGGCTGCCCATGGATTCTTACTGGTGGACCCATATTACACCCATTTTGCAGGCCCCGCATTGGCTTCCTATCAGCTTCTGAATGCAATTTAAGGTGCTGTTTTTAATGTGCAAAGCCCTTTATGGCTTGGCCCTGGGTTACCTTCAGAACCCTCTCTCCCCGCTGGAATCGGTCCAACCGTTTGATCCCGCCAGGAGAAGCAGCTGGTTACCTCCCATTTTGGGGAGATCTGAAGGGCTAAGGCCTGGAAGAGCCGTTTTTCTGTGGTTGGCCCAACCCTCTGGAATGGTCTCCCATGAGAAGTGTACTTGACCCCAACTCTGGTTGCCTTCCAGAAGCTTCTTAAAATTGAACCTTTCTGGAGGTCGTCTGGGGGCTGATTCCAGATGCCTTTTGGAAATAGGTTTGTGTATTTTGACGGTTGGCTTTATTTTATGAAATGTTCATTGTTATTTTGCTTTTCTTTTATACTATGAGCCCCCGAGAATCTGCGTACAATTGCGGCAGGGTATAAATGCGATTGGGTATAAATATCAACCTAGCTGCTTCTGTCTCAGGGACAGAAGGCGTGCTAATTGCTGTAGCTGTAAAGGAGCTTGAAATGATGAGGAATTCTTCAACTATGTGTCCGTACATCTCAATCCTCCTCCTTCATCCTGCCCTTGACTGTTTCCTGATGGAACCTATGTATTCTGTTGGAGAAGACTGTCTTTTCTTTTCTACCTGTTAGCATTTTGCTTTCACTGAGCAGGTGGTATCCCAAATCTTTCCTTTTTCTTTTAAATGTATCTAAAGAAGCCCTTTTTGCTCTTCTTAACATCCTTTGCTAACCACAGCTCACTCTGATATTTTACTTTCCTTACCGTTTCCTGTAAAATTTAGGCCTACCTGTCTGGGTTCTTCCTTTGTAACTCTTTCCAGTTCCTTTTTATTCCTTCCATCTCAACAGAACGCTGGAAAGAAGTTATGCCAAGGGCTACGGACTCTGCTTGTCCACCAGCAGGATAACTCTTCAAAAACAGACCCAAATAGGACCTAATTTGCTGTGGTGAAAGGGGCTGGCGAAAGAAAATGTGTTTGAAAATGGGCCAAATCCAGCTTGGGGGCTAGTGGACAGGAGCACCCCAGAAATCGTTCTTCGATGCATCCCTGTAGGAGAGCCTTGGTCATTGACCCCGAGTGAAGCTCCAGAGGTTTCAGAACTCTAGAGCGGTGGGCTCTTTTGGCTTGGCATCTTGCCTGAACCCAGCTGCTATGGTTTGTAAAGAATAATTTGTGGCTAAGTGTGTTCTCTGAACCCATTTGCTAATATGAGGTAAGAAGTTAGAAATCATACCCTGTCTGGTACAAGCCACAATGACATAGGTGCCATCGCCCATGGAGACAATGGTGTCAGGGCACACAGGTTGTTCCTTGCTCCCTTACGGATATCAATTGCAGATATCCATTGGCCCCTAACAATTGGCTTGTTAAAAGTTATCTCAAACTGGATTTCCATGAAACTTCTATACCTTTGAAACACATTTTATGTGCTTTCCAGAGGGTAGATGCATCAGAAATTCTGAGATCCTATCAGAAAATGTGCCAGCATTTATACCACCATCGTGTCCATTCAAACTCACACACATAATAGAACAGCCATGTGCCGGGTCAGATTTGGGCAGCGTTGCCTAAAAGCATTTATTAATTTTAGCATTTCCTTTCTGGTTCCCCAGAAGCTCTGGAAGCAGCAGATTATTTCGGGTGGCGTTTAGCTCTGCTTCTCAAATGGTCCAGATGCTCACTTGGATGGTTATGGAATGGGATAGCAAGCCATGTCAGCTATGCCGCATTGATTTGATCCTTGTTCTATGTGCATATACCCGTTGTCGCCCCAAAAACTGGACCAACTGTGAAGAGAAGCATGCAAGAGGTTTGTTTCTGGGATTCCACAGGAATCATCTGAGGTTTGATGTTATCTTTCATGCTAAGAGTCAAGACGCGCTAGACTTGCATAGGATGCTGAAGGTCCCCAGAGTACCCAGAGCCAAGAATAGGGCTACCTAAATAATAAAGGGGACAGAACTGCAGATTTTGGAGATCCCTTGGCCTCCCATACATACATTTGTTTGTTTGTTTGACCTGATCTTTATGTCTCCCCCATCATAAGACTCTGTTGGGCTTACATAATATAACCTTAAAACATAAAATCACAAAACATTATTAAAATAATAATGCGTTCTTTTCATGTTCCTGTTAATGGGGAGGCAGGGGTTATGGGCCCCTCTAGGGCTGCACAGGTAACACCTCCACTGCATAAGCTGCCCTGGGGGATGGTTTGCTTCCGGGTCCAATTCAAGATGTTGGTTATGACCTTTAAAGCCCTTCATGGCAGAGGCCCGGGTTACCTAAGGGACCATCTCATCCCGGTTACATCGACCCATCCCACCTGGCCCGGCAGGAAAGGCATATTTCGAACCCCTTTGGTTAAAGAATTTCGACTGGTGGGGTCTAGGAGGAGAGCCTTTTCTGGCATCGCCCCTGCCCTGTGGAGCATCTTACCTCCTGAGGTGAGATTGGCCCCCACTCTTCTGGCCTTCTGGAAGAGTGTTAAGACCTGGCCCTGCCAACTAGCACAGGGACCCAATGGGGGCTCGCAGCCCTGGGGGTGGTTGGTGGCTTGAGGACACTCTCTCTGTCTTTTGACTTTGTATATTTTTGTAAAGATTTTTATCGTTTTTTATCGCTTTTTTACTTGTAAGCCGCCTAGAATCACTCATACAGCGAGATGGGCAGTGTATAAATTCAATCAATAAATAAGAAACTACAGCAGCAGCAACCAGATTCCTGGTCTTTGGTTTCACAGGGGATATGCTGCATGCCTTCAGGATAGAAACCAAGCATATGAGGATTAAAGGATTGGGTATGTTTAGCCTGCAGAAGAGACGATGGATGGGAAGTTTGATATCTGATGGGTTGTTAAATAGAAGAGGGAGCAGATTTATTCCATATTGCCCCAGAGGGCAGGACCAGGACCAGCAACATTGGGTTAATTACATTCTTGTTAATTATAGTACAAGAAAGGAGAGTCAGGCTACACATCAAGAGGACCTGCCTGACTGTTCAAGCTGTCAGCCAGTCAGATAGGTCTTCAACAGAGGCTGGGTGGATATCCTCCAGAGATGTTCTAGAGCACTGTTGTCCAAACTTGGCCACTTTAAGATGAGTGGACTTCAACTCTGGGCCAAGTTTGGACAACAGTGTTCTAGAGGATCCTGCACTGAGCAGTGGTCCAGGAGGTAGCCAAACCTGAGCCCCAAGGTTTTTAGAAGTGAGTATTAATTTGTAATCTCCCATAGCAACAGTGTGATGGCATCACATGAAATTCTGTAGAACCTCAAAAGAAGAGGAAGGTAACAAGGGAGATCCGCTCCTGAGGCTGTTCTTGGATGATTAGTTGTATTGTCCACCATTTAGAGAAAGGCAGTTTGATTACCCAAGAATACCAGGCAAGAGCAAATTTCCAGTTGGTCTTCTGGTGAGACTAGTTGCGATAGAGGTCATCTTCCCCATCGGCATCCTGCATACGGGTTGGATGACAGATGGTTCTCTGATACAGTGATCCAACCCGCCTGAAAGACACTCTGTTGGGGAAGCAACACTCCTGTGGGAAAGTCTCATGAGAACCATGAATATGTTATAGAGTTGTGGAACTTGCCCTTTGGTTACCCTCCTGCCAGCGCCCACTTCTCTTCACTCACCTGTTCTTCACAATCCAGTACTTGGAACTGGAGCTGTTATAACCAACAACCAGCACAGCGTGAGTCAAATCTGGGTCTCCAAGCCAGGGGTTTTTAAAGATGCCTGGAGAGAGAGGATGAGAAAGTATTTGGTAAAACAAAAAACCCACCCTTCTTCGCAAGCTTATCCAGATTTCCAAAATGACAGCCAGGTACCTCAGCTCATCTCAGCTGTGTAAGAAATTTGCAAGGATTTGCCCTTTTTAATGGTAGCACCTCTTATTTGAAACATGCACTACTGGAGAAGCTTTTACCCAGAGCCACTCAGATATTTTTCAAATACTGGACAAAACCCTTCAAGTTCCTATTGTCCTAGTTTTTAAAAATGTTCAGGGAACTAGTCCCCTAGGACAGTCCTCCCCAAACCTTTTCCTTCATTACCCAAAACCGCTTATCAGAAAGTCCTTTTTACTTAAGTCAGTTTAAATGTCCCTGTTGTGAAGGGTAATGGGTTTGTGTGTCATTAAGAAAAACCACTTTTACCCAATGTTGGGTAATGTACTCAGGTTTGGGAAGCACCGCCCTACGACTCTGTTTTTCTAACTGGTTTCCTCAGTGTGGAAGGGGTCTTTTAGCAGTTATTTTATCCTGTGCTGGCAGAACAAGATTCACTCTAAATAATAAAGAAAAATAGCAAGCGTTTATGTAGTTCTGGAGTAAATGTCATGAAATTTACGAGTTTTACTTCTGAGTAAATAGTGGCTTTCTGGAGACCAGGTAACCTCCAGCCTTCTACATATCAACTTGCAGAGCAAAACTGCTTGGGCTGGGGGTGGGGAACATACTAACCAAAAGGAGGGAGTGGGTGTGGATAGCAAGTGAAGGATTCACCCTGTGTCCCCTCGCAGCTTCGGCCTGTCTTTCTTGTCACACAGATGCACAGAGTACATGCTCTGGCAATCTTCTCCTGGTAGGCGCTTAGGTTTTGCCTGTCACTATAATACATTTCTTGCAAGTGAACCTCTTGCAATTGAATCATTACCAAGGTCAGATTCTGGCACTCAGGATTGCTCCAACCTGTGGAGTCCTTGGGGTCCTCTGAGCTTGGTTGTTTTCTTGCAAACGTTTCGTTATCCGGCTAGGTAACACCTTCAGTACAATGAATGTTACCTAGCTGGGTAATGAAACATTTGCAAGAAAACAGCCAAGTTCAGAGAACCCCAAGGACTCCACAGTTCAACCCTGAGCTATACATATTCACTTCTGTTGATACTCCAACCTCCATCATCAACTTTAGCACAGGACACCTTCTAAAACCAGTTTCAAAACCGTGCATTCTTGATTTTTTGCACACTTTATTTGCCATTTTGTACAAAATATAAGCAAACTTATTTTTCACCAGTGGAACAGTGATGAAACAATGCAATTAAAATCTAACATCCATTATCAAGCCAAGGTTTTAATACAGTCGTTTAATGTTACGATTTTATAATAATTTGCATTGCAATTAAATTGAAACCATGTGCAATTATTTCTCTGGCCCCACATACCTTTTGGCGTAGCCCCTGCACCTTACCAAGATGGGAACAGGTGTGATATTATACCTCCTCTAAAAGTACCAACTCTCCACTACCATTTTGCTCTGGGATTACAGCAGCCCACCTTTTTTATTTGATCTGTAGAGTTAGCAAAGTACAGTGGTACCTCTAGTTATGAACGCCCCTCCTTACGAATTTTTCAAGATACGACCAGCTCCGGCCCCAAAAATTACCCTCGACATGCGACCTCCGCCTCTACTTACGAACCGGATCCACGGCCATTTGCCTTGCTGCCACGCGGTCACGGCTTCCTGTGGGCGAGATCGCGGTAGCAAGGAGACGTTCGGTG